AAGAAATACGTAAGAGCTATGCATGGTTTCCATCCTACTTCATATGAAATTGCATAGTTCATCCTTGGGATATGCAATTTAAGTGTAGTGTGTGTACCTGACTTCTGAGGCCCTTATATGAATACACACAGACATTCACAAATTCAGAGTTCTTCCATCCCTCCTGCTTTTCAATGGGAATGTATTCATACTACACACATCTCTGTACCCTCTATTTTCACTTAGTGTTCTCAGAAGCCATTTTCTAGATCAATATACATAAATGGGATTCAATCTTTTTAATTAGTTCAAGAGTTTCCCATTGGTTAACGTCAAGATTCCAGTTTTTGCCACTGTAAACAAAGCTGCACCCAACCCACCCTGCTCTTAGGCACCTGTCCTTTTATTTCTAGAGGCTTCTCAAAAGACAACTTTGAAATCAATGGACAGAGCTTTTTAAGCATTAATATCTACTTCCAGAGGGCTGTAAAAAATGTGTCACAATTTACTAGCATCACCAGCATATTCACCTGTGTTCCAAGACTTCACCGGCACTGGGTGTTCCTTACTTTTATGAAAATACCAGCCAGTCTTATCAAACAATGTTGTTTTAAATGTACACTCTGACTCAAAAAATCTTACTTCCAAGAGGATGTTTGTGACATCACCTTCGTAGGAAGTCACATACTCCAAATCTACCACTCTGTACATTCCAGTAAAATGCTACCAAGATTTTCTGTAGAATAAAAGAGCAAGCTAATCTTCTAATTCTCACAGAAAAGTCAAAAGGCAAAGACAAATAGCTTCAACAGCTGGGAATAAAAAGAAGCTATGGAGACTCGGCCTGTAAAGACACACTAGAAATCTGTGGTATTTAAGATGATGGTGCTGCATACAATAGAAACATAATGAAGGGTTTAGGTCAGAAAAAGTCACATGTAGCCCTGACTGTATATTCACACAAACATGCATGCATACACACGGACATTCACTCTCCTCAGTCAATGGGGAAGAGAATACCTCATAATAAAGGTTATATATATGTAAAAAATGAAATCCCCCGCATCACACATGTGTGTTCACACATATCCACAGTCTCCTGGTAGAGATACAAGGGGGTTTTCACCCCAAATGTTTACAGTTAAGGAAAAATATGGGGGAAAGAGGGCAGGTACCTTTGAAAAAGGTGTGACAAAATATTAGAAAAAAATGCTAGGTGTTGCTTACTCTTCACATCTGTGGCTCTGTAGCTTTAAGTATGGCATACTTCAGTAAAATTTTCATGTTGGAGATTTTTTTTTTTTTTTCAGTACCAGGGATTGAACTCAGGACCCTGCATTTGCCAGGCAAGTACTTATTTTACTGAGCTATCTCCCTGGCCCTGATTATTAGAGAAATATTAAAATATAATACTAGTATTTAATGGAGTAAGAAAAATTAAGTTCACAATAGTTTTAAAGATGTGTTAAAGGCTCATAATTTAAGGGAAATACAAGTTATAAACACAT